TTCCGTACCTCTCTCCCAGCTTCTGGTGGCTGCATAATTTTAATCTATGCTTCTTGCCTTCACATGGCCTTTTCGTTGTATGTCTCTGAGTCTCAAATCTCCCTCCTCTTCTAAGGACACCTGTCATTGAACTTAGGGCCCAGCCTAAATCCAGGGTGATCTGTGGCCCTATAAGATAAGCACTGGACCACAAGGTCGGTTTGAACAGCAAGGTCGGCAGTTCAAATCCACCAGCCGCTCCTCAGAAGTCCTATAAGACGGTCACTGTGACTCAACAGCACTAATCAATAATAAAGCAACACTAATTATATCTCAAAGTCCTTTTTTCAAAATGAATTCACTCACAGGGCCCAGAGGCCATATATTTTGGGGGCAACTATTGAACCCACTGGTAGCGTAGTGGTTACGAATCAGGCTGCGAACCGCAAGGTCCGCAGTTCGAAACTACCAGCTGCTCTGCGGGAGAAAGATGAGGCGATCTGCTCCCGTAAAGATTTACAGCCTCGGAAACCCTGTTCAGGGTCGCTATGGGTCGGAACCGACTCGACGGCACTTAACTTAACTTATTGAACCCACTAAAGATCCATGGTGGCACTATGGTTAAGCATTCAACTTTAGGTGAAAGGTGGGCAGTTCAAAAGCATCAGCAGTGCCTCAGGAGACAAGACATGGTAATTTGCTCCCATTAAGCTTTCACTATAAGAAAACTGGTGGGGCAGTTCTTTGTCATACAGAATTGTTATGGGTTGGAATTGACTTGGCACAACAGTTGAACCCACTACACCTGCCCACCATGATTCTGCTGGCACCATTATGGTAGACTTAGAATACCTCCCTCACTGTCACTATGTCCCATGTAATATCATCTCAGACCAAGAAAACACTTAATAGTGAAGAAGGTAGCAAATGGGCTCACTCCCATGAGCTCATGGTCTTCCCCTAGAAATCAGGGTCTCACCCTAAACCCTATCCTTGTCACTTAGACCCAAATCAAACTGTCCAGTTGAATCCAACTCACAGCAAGCCTCTAAGACAGATTGTGGTTGTTGTTAAGTGCTGTTGAGTTGATTCTGACCCATAGTGACTCTGTATAGGGTTTCCAAGGAGCAACTGGTGAGCTTGAACCGCTGACCTTGTGGCTCAAATTGACTTAGAACTGCCTCAAAGCGACTCCAAGGCTGTAAATCCTTACAGAAACAGACAGCCATATCTTCCTCCTGTGAAACAGCTAGTGGGTTTGAACTGCTATCTTTATGATTAGCCACGGAACATATTTAATCACTCTGCCACTGGGGCTCTTTCATCACCTGGAAGCCCAGACCTAATAGAAAGGTAGCTGAAAGCCACTGGGGTTGTCCTACAGCATTTGGAGTTTGCCTTAAGCCAGAAGCTCGGACCTGGGACTGCTCCCCCGCCCCAGGTTCAGGGTTTGGGAGCCAAGGGACAGAGCTATACCTTGGCTTCCCATCCCTGCAGTCTTGGATCCAATATCTTGACTCCTTGTGTTTCTGAGCCTATTGGCAGAGAAAGGTGTCAATGATGGGCAAGGTGATGAACTTGATGAACATGTTCAGTGGGGGTGTCTGGGGCTTACTGAGCACTTCTCGGCCCTCCCAATCTAAGTAGCAGTGGGCAGTGGGAAACTAAGCTAGTCCTCCAAGAACAAAACCACTAAGGATTAAGAGTTTATGGGAATGAAGTTCTATTCACCCACCTGATGAAAGCCCACCCAGTCAATCTGCTAGTTGGCTCAGCCACTGGAGGGGGAGTGAGGAGGTAGATTCACCTTTGACCCCCATGACAACCTGTGCCCTTATCCTGGTCCCTTTCCCAACCCCCTTCACCTGCTGAAACAGATTCTGTTTCAGGTGAGTGGGACCTGACTTTGGTGCAGAGGTGTGAGGAACCCCTTCAGCTGCATGGCCCTTTTACTCCCTGTAGCTGACCATGGACATGGTAGGAGGACCAAGGGCATCTCTCCCTACTCTGACCCTGAAGGCCCCTGGGAAGAGAGAGGGTCACACCCTTAGACCTTAAGCTGCCTCAGCCTGGAGCAGGGCTCACTTCAGATGCAGATCTTACTGCAGAGGCAGGCCTCAGCTAGCACCTCTGGAAGGAAGGAGACAGGTGGGTGTGGGTGGACAGGAGTTGGTAGCAACCTAACTTGGCCTGAGCAGTGACACCAATCCCGGCAGCCCTTTCCTTGAATATCTCTCCCTCTGCAGTACAGACAAAACAAGGGAGATAGGGGTGGCCCTAGAGGCACAGGTTGAGTGGACCTGGAAGGTGCCATCTCCAAACAGCCTTACCTCCAATGGGGTAGGAATGACAGTAGCCATAAATGCTTCTGAACCCAGTTTATCCTTATTTGTCTAGCAGGGGCTATTCTTGTGACATCATCCCCACCTCCCTTAGGATGCCAGCTCTCTTGGGGGAGGAATTTGCTTCCTGCTAGGGGAGGGGGCTTGCTCCCTGGTGCCAGAGAGGTGAATCCTTCTGCTTTACTCACAGGCTTTGGCTGGTAGGATCAGGGTGGTAGCTTGGGGGCTCCAGACCCTCCACAGAATCCAAGCCCAGGACTAGAGGAGGTGTCGTCTCTGGCCCCCTGTTGGTCACTGGAAGGTGCAGCTGCAGAGGTGAGCAAACATGGATGGAAGGCCGGATGGGACTGCCTCATGATCTTTGGAGACAGCAAAGCGTTTGCTTCATCAGCTCAGAATCCTGGCAGATGGGAAGTAGGGCTTCTTTGAGGCTTCCCTCCCGCCCTCTCCTGCATCTGGAAGCTCCTGAAACAGGGATGCCTGGGCACAACCCCTGCCCATCCTCTTTGCCCAAAGTGAGCAAGAAACCACGAATGAGGAAGGATCCAGATGGGGAGCAGAGCCCTCAGCCATCCGCTGGCCCCTCTAGACCCAGTGAGAGGTCAGCATGTCTCAGGTAGCTGATCAGGAGAAACTCACACCAGTGAGTCAGTCTCTAGAATCAGATTCCGGGGTGACAGACTCCCTAGGGAGGCTCTGACCGAGACTAGCCAGACTCCCAGGGGAAGTCCTGACTGAGTCTAATTGGATTCCTGCCCAGCTCTGCTCTTTTCCATGAAGTAGGGCTGGTGGACTAGCCCCACAGCTGTTTTCTGGCCCTAGAGGCCATTGTAGCTAGAGGCTTGGGCAGTCAGACCCTGGGGGCACCCTCATTCTATCACTTAGGCCCTGGTCCTGCCCCTTCCAGAGCTCCTACCCCTTAGGGTAGATGGTCAGGGGGCTGTAGATCCAATAGTGAGGCCAGTCATACCTCTAGAGAGCTTTTGGTGGGGACCTGGGGATCCCAAGCTCATGATTGTTTTCTGTTTCTCTGGGGTAGTTTGAGTCCCCTATAAAGCTGAGACCAGGTCCTCCATCCTCAGAGCGAGTAGAAGCTAGAGGCAGGGTTGAGGAATACCCCTCCAGGTCTTTTAACCCCATACCCACCCCTTCCCACTAATAGCAGAAGCCTCAGCAGACCCTGCTTAGGGTCCCAGCAAAGCCTGATGTTGGCCAGGGCATTCCACGGCAAGTGATGAGGTGCACTAGCCTGGAGAGGGAGGACTTTTGGTGCTGGGTTCGTCCAGATGACCAGGAGTTAGTGAAGTCAGGTCAAGGGTCTCTTCTCAACGGTGTGGAGGAAGCTTGGTTGTACAGAAGTACAAGACCAAAGACCCAATGAGCATCAGAGACCACTGTCCCTCAGTCCCTCCTCTTCCACTCTCCAAAGAAGGGGACAGGCTGTGTCAACAGGACAGTCACCCTGAGCCCTGGGGCATGGCCCCCTGCACGTGAAACCTCGGGCTAATTTTTAATCGGCTCAGGCAAGGCTGAAGGGTGAAGGGCTAAGGGCCCTGGAAGGGGATCCTAGGTGCTGACCAGCAGAGGCAAGGATGGGATTGAAGGCCAGGCGGTGGGACAGACCCTGGGGACTAGCTGTGGGGGAAACATGTGGTGTGCTTTCTTTTCAGGAGTGCCACCCAATCTGTGTACCAGTGAACTTTTGGGCAGTTGTCCACTTAATCAGCTCTTCCCCCTCCCCACCTCGTCTAGGACCCTCCTCACATCTCCACCCCCCAGTCTAAGGGGTTGTTCTGAGAAAGGCATTGCTCAGCCAGGTGATGGAGCAGAGCAGAGGGCTGGGGTCCCCACCCACCTGTATCCCAGAATGACTGCCCCTTCTCAGTATGGCAGAGTGAATCATGCACCTCCTTCCCCGTGACAGAGGCAGAGGACCTGATTTGTTGGTCCTTGTCATGGGTCCCAGGTCCTCAGCGTGGGGGGCTTGACCCCGGGTCTTGCATCCTCCAGGCTGCCGCCCCCTAACCTATCCGGAAGTGCGGCTTCCCATACTGGTGCAACTAGGGGGGTTGCGGAGGTGCCCTTAGGACCCACGCTCTGAGGACTGCACTTCCCGCCAGTCGGGAAAGCCTCGGAATACCCTTGCGACAGCGAGGAGGCAGCAGTGGGAAGCTGAGGTTCTTCCACACATTGAGACCGTGGATTCAATGGTCTCTGTCCTTCAAGCGGGCTCTCCCCATACCAGGGGTCCCGGACTCTTCTCCCACACTCTCCCCTCACGATCCGCGGTCTGGCGAGGAGACTAAGCGGGGCATCCCCAAAGGACCTGGAGCGCTGCAGGGGGCGAGCTGAGGCAGGCACCCGTAGGCCGGCGGCCCAGCGAGGGTTAAGGGGGGCGGGGCGTGGGGTGGCCCCGCCTCCTCTCCACTGCCGCTGCCACCGCGCCGGGTCCGAGCGCGCACCGGGCGTGGGGGCGGGTCGGAGCGGCGGCGGCCAGGGCAA